CTCTCTCATGTTTCAATGCAGTATACATAATTTATCCCATCTTTCTCAATATCCCCCTAACCCCGATGTCAGTCCCCTTTTACAACAGTGGCACTATGCAGTATTTGTCCTTTTGTGACAGAGATATTTCACTCCGCATAATGTCCTCTAGGGTCACCCATTTTGTATAATATTTCATGAGTTCCTTGTTTTTAAAAGCAGCGTCGTATTCCATTGTGTGAATATACCACATCTTCTCTATCCATTCATTTGTTGATGGGCATTTAGGTTGTTTCCAACTCTTTGCTATTGTGTGCAAAGCTGTGGTAAACATGTGTGTGCATATATCTGCTTGAGTGGCAGTTATGGTTTCTTTGAGGTATATTCCTAGTAGTGGAATTGCTGGGTCAACTTTTTGAGAGAGTGCCACACTGCCTTTCACAGTGGTTGCAGCTTTGGACGTATTCTTTATATTTTATTTTATTATTTTTGTGTGTGTGTACCATCAAATCAGATCTGACTGGTACAGGAGGAGATTGTCCCACCTTCCCCGGCAGAGCATCTGGTGGATTCGAACTATGCGCCTCTGGGATTGTATTTGCAGCTCCTTACCACTAGGCCACCAGAGCTCCCCTATATTTTATTTTATTATTTTTGTGTGAGTGTACCGTCAAATCAGATCTGACTGGTACAGGAGGAGATTGTCCCTCCTTTCCCGGCAGAGCATCTGGTGGATTCGAACCGTGAGCCTCTGGGATTATAGTTGCAGCTCCTTGCCACTAGGCCACCAGAGCTCCCCAGCTTTGGGCGTATTTTAATAACAAACTTGGAGAGAAAGAAAACGCTGGGCAAGATGGAGGGCCAGTGAAAGAGAGGAAAACCCTTCAATAAAATGGATTTGAGCACGACAGATTATGAGGATAATACAGGACAGGGCAAGTTTCAGACCTGTTGTTCATTCGGTTGCTGTGAGTAGTAGTCAACTGGATGATACCTAACAACCACTTAAGAAGCTCTTAGCGTATAATAATAAGCAGCTGTATTAAATAAACAGCAGGTGTACTTTGGGGGTTTATAGAATAAATTAAAAATATTTTTAAAATCTTGTGAATGAAATTAGATGCCAAGAAATTAAAGGAGCTAACATATTTGTTAGTAATTAATAGGCGCTGAAAAAAAATATTAAGGCTGATCAGGCTGAAGAGAGCATGCACCTTATATTGACTTGAAAGCCGATTTTGTTGTCGGGATGGAGTGATTCAGTTGCTTACCGCTAGGAGGAGTACGTTCTTAGATTTGAAAAGAAGGAACAGTGAGGGCATTGGCAGGCATATAGTTCTGTGCGCCTGCGCTGTAGAACTAAGTCTGTGCGCCTGCGCTCAACTCTTCCGCCTTTCCACTCCTGTGTGGTTAGGGATTGACCAGGACCTCACAGGAACTTCTGTCGTAGAAGTTTTGTCAAGATGCTAAAGCCTGATACCTCTTCGTCAACCTCTCCCTCTGCACCTGTAGCTTCCCCTTCTTCAGCAGAGGCTCGTCCGCCGGGTCCACGCTATCATTTCGGGCCCCAGGAGACGCCTCAGAGCCGCACTTCAGCTCAGGCTGCCTCTGCATCGTCTCCGCCCGGCACTTCGGGGATGGTGGGCGACAGGAGCAGCAGCAGCAGTGTCCCGCCGCAGGCACCCAACTCCTGGCCAGCTCAAGGCAAGGAGCCACTGGGTGGAGGATTCTCCCGTGTTAGCTAGTGGCCTGCGACTCCAAGCGGTAGAGCGAGCGCTGGCCTCGGTGGTGGTCACTACAACAGTTTTTCAGCTGCGATTTGGTTGGGAATTTGAAAGATGTCGGTGTTTAAATGTGACCACCTTTCAGGTTGATTTCTTTACAAGGCTGTGGTGATAGATAGCTCGATTACAAGAAAGGCAGAAATAATATCCAGCAATAGCTCCCATCCTCCTACATTCCCAAAAGAAATGAAAGAATATGTTTATGAGTTTGGTGATAGGGGTAAGCGAACCTCTTCATTCCTGAACTTAAGCCATAAAGTCCGTTCTAGAGTGAATAAAAACAGTTAAGATTTAATATTTCATTTAATTCGGGTGAATATTTAGTATTTTAATGTAAATCCATAAAGGGAAGTTCACATTTGTTTTATAGCTGTCTCTATGACAAAACCAACACCATTTCCCATACAGTTTTAATCCAATGATAAATACCAAATTCATCGATCCCTTCAATTTACCTTACGATCTTTCTATTATGATTGTTCTTGACTATTCAACTAAAAGAGTTGACTTTAAAAGACTTAAATGTAATTCTCCGGTTTCACTCATACTTCTATAACTCTATTCACCTTGTTTGGTGCCCAAACTATTGATTGTTTATCTTAATCTCTCTTCACCCCACACCTCATCCTCTGGTTTATCAAACTTCTGCTCACACTCTCTCTTTAGGCCACTAATATCTGATGAGAGTTTAACCACTGCTATAATC